ATAGCCAAGACGTGGAACCAGCCTACATGCCCAGAAACTGATGATTGGATAAAGAAGATGTGGTATATATACACAATGGAATACTACTCAGCCATAAAAAAAGACGAAATTGGCCCATTCACAACAACGTGGATGGACCTCGAGGGCATTATGTTAAGCGAAATAAGTCAGTCAGAGAAAGACGAACTCTATATGACTCCACTCATAGGTGGAAATTAGTATATTGAGAAGGAGATCTGATCGGTGGTTACCAGGGAAAAGGGGGGGTGGGGGGAGGGTACGGAGGGGGAAGTGGTGTACCCACAACATGACTAACAAAAATGTACAACTGAAATCTCACAAGGTTGTAATCTATCATAACATTAATAAAAAAAAAAAAAAAAAGAGAAAAAAAAAATAAAATAAGGGAGAATAGTGATGGCTATCAACCAGAACCTGTAACAAATCTCCTACTTTAGCTCTTCTCTTTAAATTGGTCATCTTTTTTTTAAAGTTCAGGGGAAAACATCAGTACAAACTGCCTGCAAGCACAAAGCGGCCACTGCTGTGGATCTGCAGGGGAGGCTAGAGAAAACCGCCCACTTCCTGCAACACCCTCTGCGGACAAACTCAGGCTGGACTCACGACTCATGAAGCAGATGTGAAGAACACCAGACACTGAGAGGAAGACGGCTCAGTGCGCTCCCTCTGGGGAGCCTGCCTGCGGGTCTGGCAGGGTGCGCCGGCTGCTTCGTGGTCATGAGTGACAGCCAGGGGCAGAGGTGCTGTGTCCATGGGTGGGTGGCGGGCAAGGACCATCACCCTTGCTTGGCTCTCCGAGATGGATGTTCAGTTTTAAGGGCTGTCTCCGGTGAAGGCCTGAGGCAATGGCTTTACTCCCTCCCTTGTGGTCTGCCTGCCTCCACCGGCAGCAGGCACCCACCGCAGGGGAACTGCATCCAGGCCCCAGTGGGGAGACCATTAACTCACCCTGCAGGGCCTCTCCCCTAACTCGCTGGCAGAGCTTTTGGTAGAGGCCCTTTTCAAAAAGGCTCAACAGAAATACAGAGATGCGAGAATCCTTTCTGAGGCTCTGTAATAGAAGTTACAAAAAACTTACTTCTAGCCGGCAGGTTTAAAAAATGCAGATTTTACTACTGTCATGCAACTGGATTTCATAGCTACAAGCTAATAGCTGTGACGAAGGAATTATTAAAGTGTTAAATATTTCATTTAGAAGGGAACATTGCAGTCACTTTAAAAAGAAAACTCAGAACTCATCTGTTGAAAACCATCGTCTGTGAGACGGCACAGGGAGGACGAGTTGAGGTCCACCATTACTCACACCTCACGCCGTGGGGCTGCCTCATGTGGGGTCTGCCCAGGCCCTTCCCTGGGGAGGGGACTCGCTGGGCGCCCGGGGTAGCCCCACCCCAGCCTGGCAGAACAGGCACAGAGGCCTGGGTCAGCGGCCCTGCTGCCCATCTCCTCGGCCACCCGCAGCCTGTCCAGCCACACCGCGAGGAGGGTCTCCATGAGCAGGGGGCTCAGAACACAAAGAAAGCATCTATACCCCTTCTGAAGCGGAGAGCCGAGCTCAGTCTGTCGCAGCTCTGCTTTTCTTGAACTCACTGTGAAATACTGCTTTCGCAAAGTGCTATGTTTATTGTTCTAACTGCTTTCACCACTGACCTCTAGGGCTACTTTAAGATGCATACCATGCAAAGAAGCTAAATTTTTTTAATAAGTAAATATAAAGAAGTTAGGAAGCATTAACAGAAAATAAGTTTAAATGATACTTCATTATGAAAGAAACATTAGGTAAAGGTTTATTTCAAGAATAAACGCTTCACTAGAAAACTATTTCTTGGAGAAAAATAAACCCAAAATAAACAAAATGGACCTTCGCAAGGGGTTTATAGGGAGGCCCGACCTCTCTAAAACGCTTCCCCTGTGCTACACAACTGCTAGCTCTTGATCACAGAGCGGCCAGAGAAATGATTCCCTGGACACTTCTAATAAACAAGATGAGGAAAACCCAAAAACTAAAAAGCACAAAAAAGGAAACACCATTTTCTTTCAAAGAAAACATCCTACTACTAAAACATCACTCTCATGAGAAATTAGAGAACACCTTATTCAACAGCTCACCATTCGACTGAACTTCCTCAGCTCGACGAAGCCCACTCGCAGCACTGCAGCCTCCTCTCCCACAGAGAAACCCCAGCTGTCCTGGCCCAGGGCAAAGGCAGCCCCAGAGACGTCCAGACTCTGGGCAGGAAAGACAGCTTCAAGCCTCCGTGGTAGAGATACCAGACAGTTAACTTGTTACTAACCAAGCTTTGGAAAGTCTCCAAGATAAGAAGTTGAACCATAGGAAATCTCCAATATTTGACGTTTTAACGTACAAAAATGGTAATTTCATATGGTTCTAGCTAGCAAACACCCTTGTGACAAGCCTTAAGGAAGAGAGGGTGAACACCATGCTCATCTCGCAGCGGGACCTGAAAAGGAAAGGGGGTCCTGCCACGCCCGGAGGGGCTTCCACAGCAGGCCAGGCTGCGCCTGGGCCGAGGAGCAGACGGCGGAGGCCTGGACAGGGAGCTCACAAGTTTGGCGGGTAAACGTGCTTGAACTCAAGCAGCAGCTCACTTCCTATTACTTTTTGTAAAACAAGTTGAAATAGGTAGATCTGGTCTAAATCTTAGAAGAACAGGATGAAAAAATGATATGGAAAAGTATGTTAAACATGTTCAAAGATTAAGATGCACAGAAAATAGAATTTGTCTAGGAAGCATTTCTTCCCTGTTAAAATGTACCCATTGCTCCCAGTTCTTCACACTGCTCCACAGCTTCTGGAGCACTGAGGCTGTCTGAGGATCTTTCTTGTATGGGACTTCCTCACTCTCCGTGATTTCACCGGCTACCAGATACAACACAGGAAGACAGCAAAGCCCAGTACTGCTGGACAGAAAGGGGGTGTCACCACAGGCGGGGGTTAGTGCCAATTAACTTCGTGTTAGCAATTGTATTGTAACCGTCCACCACCTCCCTTCTTAAACCATAAAATCCCCACACCTGGTCCCTGCGGGGAGTAAGTGATTGAGCTAAATTAGAAAAACCTGGCTTGCACATGCTGAGGCGTGGGAAATCCTGGCTCTGCAGCAACCACTGTTAGCAGGCGGGCCTGGCCCAGGGGACCCTGCCCCCAGGAGGGTGCTAGAAGCTGCTCCCCACCCCAACCTAGCTAGAGGGGACCTCAACCCTTTCAGAAGTGCCCATCAGCACTGTGGGGCTGGTCCTACAGGAGGAGGGCTACTGGTCTGGCTGGGTGGCCTTTCTCCTTACCCCAGTGGCTGTTTCCAGCTCGTCCTGGTTGCCTTGATGGACCATGACCATGACCAGCTGGCTGAGGTGACAGCCTGGCTGGTGCAGGCCCAGAGCCAGAAGGCAGGTAAGTGTGGCCAGTCCCAACTCTCTTCAAACCCTGAGGATGGGACTTTACAAGCTCATTCCCCTCCCACCCAGCGTTAGATTACAGATACTTTCTGCCCTGGTTTTAATCTTTCAGTTCTGAAAATTTTAAAACCTTAAATTCCAGCTCACTGACTTGGTGGACTGCAAGAGGAGGACAGACAGTTGGGCAGTCCTTTCTGCTTCCCTGGCAGAGCAGTGACCCCCAAATGGTGGCAGAGGATAGAGGAGTTATCTGCTCTGAGAAGCCCAAGCCTCTACTTTAAAAACAAACCACATCTCCGAGCTCCTCAGACCAAACAGCGCGATCCCGCCCTGTGCCTGGCACACGGAAGGTGCACAACGAGCAGCGTCACCCACAGCCTCAGTTCAGGCCATCGGCTCGCGGCGCCAGGAGAAGGGGGATCTGAGCAGGTGCAAGTGCTGAGCGGGAGTGTGGGGGCGCCCTGCTCACAAACGCAGATGATGGAGGGTCCCGGACATGTGCGGAGTGTGCGAAGGCCCACTCCTGCTCCCACACCCCATCCTGGAGAGCCCCTCTAGGAATTCTGGAGCCCACACTGAAAGAAACCTTCCGGAGACAGTCCTAGATGACACACGGGGCTTACGAGGCATTCTGTTCATTACGGCTGTATACTTTCAGGGCGTTAGGTGCAAAAATGTTCAAGGATTTATCTGTTCATTTGTCTGACCTTGTCAGTCAAGTCAGGTATTAGCTGAACTTTCAGGAGTTTCTCTATCCCCTTCCCCTGAAAACTCTACTCCATTTTCAAGTTTGTTTCTGCTGAAAATCATAGCAGCAGAATACTATTAAACTTACTTAGTAAATTCCATTTTCAAGTCCAAGACTGCTTTAAGTTTACCTTACCTAAAATCTCAGGGTAATTTTTTTCCTTAAGTATACGTATGTACACATCCACACTTATATACTCGTACATAAATACTCATTTACATTAAAGGGAAATGTCCGGGAAAATGTTTTTATATCACAGACTTTGTGTGCCTTTAGCATACTACATTTAGGCAACGAGTTCTCAATACATGCCTTAAGAATATAATATCTACTTATGGTAAGTTTGAGAAATTAAATTGATAACTTATTCAAGAAAATGTTGCTACCTACTCTGATGGAAGTGTCACCGACTGAGTTTATGGAAGCAGCTAATTGTCCATGTACGAGGCTCATTTTCTGTGCTGTTGGCAAGCAGATAGCTTAAGTTAACAATAAGCTTATTGAAAAATGTACTGCCGTTCAGATGTGTTCCTATTTAAACCTTTCAGCCAGCGAGAGTCAAGGGTTGATCTGCATGCATCATTTTTGTAGCCTTTGCCAAGAATTATGTGACCATGTGCCAAAACTAACACAACCATTTGGAATGGGTGGAGATGGCGAACTCTTGTCCTTACAGCGTGGCCACATGCTGTCTCTGTTTAGATGATGTAAAAATACCAACTTGGTACAGTCAATAAAATGAGCTGTGATGTAAGTGATAGTTAATAAGTCAAGCTCCCTGAAGGAAACATGTGAGACGGCTGAGTTAACTGACCTTGCTGGAAAACGGGATGGTGAAGAGCAGGCAAGGGGAGCTCTGTGAGGAGCGCAGGCTTGTGGAAGTAGGCATCCAGCCAGGCCGCGCACTGCATCAGGGGCTCCGCCACGTCCTCCGGACCGCCGAGCAGCTCAGGAGGAGCAGGGGCCTCCACGGGGCTGAAAGAGTGATAACAGGAGCTTAGTAAACCTGTAGGCCCTGCCTCCCCATGTCCGAACAGCAAACACCCACCGAACCTACATGGGTAAAAGCCTGTAGGTGTTTCACAGGTACGCATGGCTCATCTAGTGTGCAGTGGGATTGCAGAAAGGTGGACTAGGGGAGGACGACGAATGAGTGCCTGGGAGTCTCTTCATCCGTGCCTCCACCTTCAGCTTTAAAAAAGAAGCCTGCTTTCTTTTTCTTTTTTTTTAGTTTTTCTTTTTATTATTTACTTATTTGATTTTTTTATTGAGGTCACACTGGTTTACATTATATAAATTTCAGGTGTACATCATTATATTTCAACTTCTGTATAGACTACACAGTGTTCACGACCAGAAGTCTAGTTGCCATCCGTCACCGTACACACGTGCCCCTTTACAACTCATCTGTAAACATAGGAGCTGATTCCCAGGAAGCAATGTCCCAGTACTCATGCTCCTCTCATTCGGGGCTCTGAACATTTGCAGTCCACTGTGAAGAAGGATGTGACAAAGCAGGGATGACAAGCACAGAAGCAAGTGGGTATGTGCCTGCCCCCATAAGACGAACAGACGTCTATTCGCATCTATTTTCATCTCTAAAATCACCAAGTATTCGTTAGGGAAAGTAACTTCCAGAAATACTATTAAAGTAACTAGACTGCATCACTCACCCTCCCCCCGCATTTCAACAGAAGAATAGCACAGCCAGCCATTCTCCACCACTCTGTGCTGCCTTCTAGGGGATTCGCTCCACTGATCCTCAGGCTTCAGAGAGCCTGATCTGAGAGCAGGTCATTCTAAGAGTTGTGATTCCCACTTCAGTCTACGACTTTTATGCCTGGACTGCTAGTTGTTTCTTTTTCAAATCCTCTGGTTTGTCGATTACAGTTGCTACTCTCTCTTTTCTCTCTTTAAGTTGAAATCAACGTATTTCAGTTGACTCACTTCACATGGCTGTGCTGTTTCTTCTACCTGGGTGCTCAGTCTTCCGTTTGTGGGATCCAGAGCAGCCTCGCATGGAGCTGACTGCTCGTCTTCAGCAGGGGCTGGCTCTGTGGGGACGTGCTCCACTAGACTGAGACAACGTCCCTATGGAGGTGTTCTCTTCTGCTGCCTCTCAGCCCTAGAGTTTTATGATGGATCTAATTTTTACTTCAATTTCCCAGGATGCCACACGCACAGAAGCACTGGCACTAAGTCTGATTTCTTCAGGTGACCTTCCTTCCCTACGTTCCAAGGCCCCCGGCACATGGCATGCTTCCTTGTGGCTTTCTAGGCCTAGCAGGTAGAGTTTCCCTAGTCTTCTTTTCAGATATTGCAGCTTCTGAAGCCTCTGGGGGAAGGCAGAAAAGCCACTGTAAGGTGGGTGCAAGAAGCTTGCCCTGAACCCTTCACACCTCCCTTCCCAAGTCCCGAGGGCAGGGGGTCTGGGGGTGGGGCTGGTGCGTGCCCTTCGACCCACAGGCTACCTTTCTTCGACACATACTCACTGCCCTTATGAGGGTCTAGGTGAAATGGAGAGGCCACCACTCCCTCGGCAATGTGGCCCAGCATAGGAACAACAGGTGTGGCTGAAGTGCCCTGGAGCACAGGCCTGACTGTGCCTGTGTGGGAGGAGAGAGACCCCAGCGTGCGCAGGGCAATGCAGATCCAGATCTGTGTGTACGTCACCCTACAGGCCGTGGGGAGCAAGTGACAACCTCTACACAGGGTCTGGTCCACAATCCCATCCCGGAACCCAAGTCTCTGTCACAGTGCCTTATAGGTAAGGAGTCTCACTGAGGTCCTGAGATGGGATGCACGGAGGTCCCTTTTACAGTTTTTCACAGTGGAATGCGAGGGGGGTCAGGGATGGCTTTCTGAGCTGTCAATATAAATAGTGTTAAGGAAGGAACCAGGGAAGGAATGGAAAAAGAAGAAATGAGCCCCAAGATGACCAGCAGAGAGGGATTACTGAGACCCAGGTCTTGTAGAGCTGGCCAGTCAGGTGATCCTGCCAACAACACAACTGGGCAGAGCAGGCCCAGACCCTTTCCAAGCGGCCGCCTTTGCTGGGTCTCGGCAAGAGGGAGCCCACATGGGCCCTCACTCGGCCTGAACCCTGAATCAACAATAGGGCTCCGGTGGGGCCCAGTCACAGAGGTCCACAGGATTCGGGCTCACTCCACAGGCAGAGCACAGGGCCTGCAAACCAGGCGGCAGAAGGACCTCTCAGAGGCATTCGTGGGTATGGAACGCTGTCTTCCCATCATCCTGATCTCTCTCCACTAGTGATGTCTGGTCACGGGAAGGAGAAGCTGCTTGGCTTAAATATTACTCAATTTCAGAGAGAAATTCTCAGTTGCTCTATTCTCCCTCTGTTCCTTACTTACTGAACAAATAGCATCCTGATGATATCTAAAAAGAAAGGTAGAGAAATATGTCACATGCTTTGTTTGCCCTCCTGCTCCTGGGGATGGAGGGAGAGTAAGGGCGAGGAGACGGGCACTGAGGGTAAGCTAGGGCTCCTTCCAGAAAGAGCAAAGGACACACAGGCCAGTGGGCACCTCACCATTAACACCCACCTCTGCGGGATGCCTGCTCACACAGAGGTGAGCAGAGCTGAGGTGTCCACACCACCACCCTCACCTGCGGGGAGCCTTCCTCCTGAGGAGGCCAGAGAGGGACGGGGACCGCCTGAAGACGCCGGCGCTGCAGCACGTGGGCCTGTGCCCCCACAGAGCTGGCTGGCGTCAGGGCACTGGGGGAGAATGCAGCAAAGGCCAGCGCCTTACAGGCCACGGTCAGTGGTCTGGGCTGGCGGGGTCTGCTTGGCTACCCACCCAGCAAACGGGTGCCTGGGTAAGGAGCGTGCACCCTGGGAGATGGGCATCTTCCACCGAGAGGCGGGCTTCTGCACCCACCACTGACCTGCTCTGCTGTGAGTCACAACCCCATCCTCAGACACCCCCGAGAGAAATGAAACGGGTAGGCTCGAGCATCCAGAGACACTGCCCCCGCTGGGGGCCACTTCCTCTGTGCTGCTGAGGGAATTGAAATGGGAGCTGTGTTTCCTAGCATTTCCCACTCTTAAGAGGATATTTGAAGCATTTTTATAGTAGTAAAATTCATCTTAAATTGATTTTTTATGCTTGTGCTAAAGATCTCAACCTCTGATTTACTCTGTAGTTCTCCTTTTTAACTCTTTCTCTATTGGCATTAGATAACTATTCATGGGTGAAATGTAATTAAACAGCTTTGATTCTGAAGCAAGGATTTATGATACTACATTTAAAATGAATGGCATTAAACACACACATAAAACCAGATTTTTAAAGCCATGACACAAATTTCCATTTCTACAATAAAATGAAATTTATTCTCTGCCCTGCCCTCTCTTCCAACCTCGCTTGGCTCATCCCTGAAAGAGCTGTGGTGTGACAGTACCACAGCATCACTAACGGCCGATCTTATCATGGAGGAGTTTCTCCAGGCTTCCCTACCGACGAACCCTGAAACCCCAATCATTACTGGCTCTGTGGCCCACGCTTATTTGAATCCCACATCCGAGTCTTCCCTGGGAGCCCGGCAACTCTCCCACCACTGTGGCCAATCCATGGTGTCCAGGAGTGCACTGTTGTGTGGGAGCCCAGACGGTGCAGCCTGGGCACCGCCAGGAAAGCAGCCAGGAGCCAGCACTGCAGGTGGAGACAAGAGAAGACCTCGTCCTGAAATCAGCCAGGATAACACACAGGGGACATCAGAGACAATCTGCCTGAGACCTTCTCCCAGGATGTCATCTGTCATCAAAGAGAGTATTCCTGAGTCCAATATCCTGACGCTGGAGCCCTTTACCTTCTTTGTTTTAACTTGGCACGAGAGGGCTGACTGGTGGCTGGAAAAAGAATTTGAGCTTTTTCACATATGACAATGGAGAGCACTGGGTACCTTAATACAGCAAACATAAAGTCACATATGGTTTGGTTTAAGGGTTTCTTCAAGAAATATGCAACTGTTGGCCATCTCTGGGATTCTGTAAGAAGAAATGGGACAACAGGGCACGGCCGTCAGGGGAAGCTCATGAGTGTCAGCGTGTAAGTGTGTCAGAAAGCGCTGCGTGAAGTTCTCGTGGAGTTGTGACCTGTGAGAAGCAGCCCGGGCCCCTTCCCTTCCGGGGCTTGGAGAAAGAATGTTCTGGTGTTGAACAGTTATTTCAGATTTGTTTTGATATAAACCTGTCCTTCAGCCCAAACCAGGATAGAGAAAAGTGGGTGAAACGCTCCAGAACAAACTTCTGAGATGTTTTTAATAAAGCAGGCCGTGTGCCTTACCTAGACAGATCAACGGAACACCCACAACTTCACAGCCTCACACGTATGGGCACAGAAGTCTCCAAGGAAACATTGTCCTTCCCATCTGCAAGAAGCTTGCATTTCAAGACACTGACATTCATGAGAAAGTGAAGGAACAGCATCCCACCCAGGGAAGCTGGGAGACTAGAAGGTGACTAAGCCAAATTTAAATGAAATGGCCCCAGATGACAAAGGTCCATACCACATGGGAAGTTCTGCCGAGCTCTAGTTGGCCCTTCCCAGTAGGTGCTGTGTGACCAGCTGGGGCGGCCAAAGGCTGGGCTCAGGCTGGTGGGAGCAGGGCGCTCTGCTGCAGGGTGAGTTGCCTGCGCTGGGCAAGCGTGCCAGGCCCCCTAGAAAGCGCTGCTCAAGGTCTAAAACTGCATCAGGTATGGACGTGTGCCTGGCAGGACCTGAGGAAAGGTGCAGGCACACTCCCCGAACCATGTCTTCTGGACCCTCCCACACAACAAACGTGCTCAATACTTAAAACTCAACTGGCCTGGCTGGAGATTTGGATATTCGGATGTTGGGGAGCCTCGAGACTTCACTGGCAGCAAAGAATCACTAAATCCTCATTTCTGAATGAATTGTACTCCCCAAAGACATTAAAATGTCATGGTCTTGGCTTAAATCCCATTT